CTTAAAAGTGCATGATATTTATGTTATCTAATTTTTTTTTTTTTTAAGCTTTAACAGAAATTCATTAGAATGGCAAATCGCTTTTAGAAGATATTGTATTCTTTAAATTTTTTAATTGCAACAATTTGAACTAAAAATCAAATTATAGCTTTCATGGCTACTTTACAATTTTGCAAGTAAATCTATTAGACTATATTTGTGGTCTGAGATATAAAATTAAACATAATGTGGCATCTTTCTTTAATGGAAACTTATCATTTGGTTTAGCTTTACCTATAGCTATGAAAAGCTATTCAAAGAATATACTTGTCTACCTCAAAACATAATTTGCAACGACAAGCGATACTTAGGACAAACTAAAAACCTAAGTCTTACTGGTTGCATATAACGTTAAAAGGTTTTGCTAAGATTTAAGGCTTGTGACCACAAGAATATTTAGATTTAATTCATGTTATTATTGTACTCGTATTATCATCGTACAGATATTAAACTTGAAATTATTTCCTCAAATATAGAAACATACAATTCCTATAAAGTTCTAGTTCCAAGTAAGTTATTTTAATATAAATGATCATGATATTTTATTGATTTATTTATCTTTAAAAAATGATATGAATATTATGGAATAATGTTAATTAAAGTTTGCCAATGCATGTAGAAAATACTAATACACTTTTATGAAATTAAGCGACACGTCCATTTAACATAAAATACAAATTGTGCAATGATCACAATGTTATCATATCAATGAGCACTTACATTCCTGGTCATCGTTTTTAAAATATTTATGTAACAGCAGTCAAATTACTTATTTGAGATAAAATATTTCTTATAAATATGACATGAATAAGTATATACAAAGTATAATATGTATTTTTTATGGAATCCTAAATTAAGTTTAATTATATAATAACAATAAAATTATATATCTATTTATAAAAAAAAATTATGCACATTGTTTATTTAAAATCAATATCTATTTATTGTTAAAAATAATTGTTCGTATAAGCAAAATTTTATCCGTGAAAATAATCTTTATAAAAAGATTATAACAATTTAAAAGATATTCCTTTGCATTGCCTTCATATAAGATTGTTAAAAATATAAATTTATTGTGGCCTAATAAACAAAACGAAACTTAAACAGCACTTATATTCATGTATTAAAGTAAGCGCGAATAAATAAAATAGCATTGGAATATATATAAAAGAAATTATAAAAATTTAAAATAAAAAGAATAAAAAATATTAATACTACAGTAAGTGCATAGGTTTTTGCGTATAAAAATATAAATACTATACACACAAAATGTATTTTGTATAACTTTACGTGTGATTAGTATTTTATCATATATCATATGTGTTCATTTAAAAGCATTATAACAAAAAAATCATATGATCCATTAATAATTATGTTGATTGACAAACATAATGTACAAACATTATATATATAAATGTTAATGTCATATAACACTAATGATAAACTAGTAATACAATAAAGATATAATGTTGGAAAAGTATTATTTTTACGATTACAGAAATATATTTTTGACTCATTGTTGACAATGAATTTTACAGTTTATCTCTGGCATAATGTATATGAAATTTAGAAATTATTTCGTTCTGATATTAAATTGTTAAATATGTATTTTCTCTTTACTGTTGCAACTGACGTATTTATTTATTAAATAGATATTTAAACTTTATATTTATGAAATATTTGTGGTAATTATATAATATTATATAATTATAGAACAAGAAATACATATGAATATGTGCATAAGGATATTGTGACCATTGAAAATGTACCTAATCAAATGTACCTATTAATAAAATGTATCTTATAAATTCTCCTGTTATTATTATTTTATTATGAATGATTCATTATTCTTAGAAATTGGGAAATATATCATTATGATATAATTATGATTACGATTATAATAATTGTCGCACTTAAAAACAACATAGCATCCATATAATAATAAATATAGTATTATTAAACAAAGCAATTTTCATTATATTATAAAAAAAATTAATATATTAATCAACATTATAAAAATAGAAGAAATACATAAATGTTTATAATTTTTATAAATGTTCAATATTATTTTGATTTACGTAGTGCCAACAAGTGAAGACAGCAAGCGCCACATTGTTCGATGTTGGCCTATGTTTAATGTATTACTTCTCAACAGGTATGCATATGTGTAGGTTACTAGCAATTAAGTACATGCTACATGTTTAATTATTTGACGGCAGTGCTGTGATTCGTTATTATATAGAAATATTGACAGTGTGAAATCAAAAAAAAAGCTTATATTGCAAAAGATGGTTGCAATAAAAGGTCGCAAAAATTCAAATAAAAATCCTCCTATATTCAGTCATGAATTCATTATTCAAAATCATGGAGATATTGTTTCTTGCGTGGCTATGATTTTTGTAACAGGTCTAATGATACAGGTATTAATTTTGTCAATGACATTTTTCATATTGATTTGATGACTTCTTTTCATTTTACATTACTATTTCATTTCAATTAATATTTAACAATCAATTTATATCTAATATTAATTTTAATTATTATTCATATTGTGACCATATGTTATTTATTATTATTGATATTAGTTAATAAATAAGTATTAAATTAACTTTAGCTAATTGAGCAAACTTAAATGAAATTTAAATTTATTAACACAATGTTCTTATTAATTATTTTAATTTGATTCATTTATTTTATCTTTACCTTTAATTATTTATTTAGGCAACATCACCATGGGCATATACATTTATTGCTATTCATCACAATATAACTTCAGATGTTGAAGATCCAACTATGCCAATGAAATATACTACTGGTTGGAAAGATGCATGTGCTGTATTTTTTTCCTTTTTAATAACAATTGTAATGCATGCTGTATTTCAAGATTATATTTTTGATGTAAGTTATATTGATTTCTATAAATTTGTTATTTTTAATATTTATAAAAAAATAATATTTATATTTTATTTTAGAAAGTTTCAAAGCGTTTACATCTTAGCAAAGTAAAACTTGCTAAATTTAATGAATCCAGTCAACTTGTCTTATTTTATATATTGTCTATTATATGGGGTATAGACATAATTATCAGGTAAAATATTTATTGCATTAAATATGCAATTATTTTTTATATAATTAAAATAAAAATTATATATCTTTTTAGAGAAAACTTGTTATTAAATATTATTTCATTATGGAAGGAATATCCAATACCATTATCTTTTTCTTCAAAATTATTCTTTATTGGACAACTTGCTTATTGGTTGCACTGTTATCCTGAATTGTATTTTCAAAGAGTGAAGAAGGAAGATATACCACCTCGAATTGTACAAGCAACTATTGGATTCCTTTCCATTCTTGCAGCTTATATCTTTAAGTATGACATAATTTTTATATATGATATATTATACAATGTTTTTATTATACAATGTTTATTAATTATATTATTTTTTAATATTTGCTTATTTAAATAGTTTCCAGCAAGTAGGTATTTTACTATTAGTTCCACATTATATAGGAGATGCTATGCTTCATGGAGCTAGACTTATTCATTTTGTGGGCAAAAAAGAAAAAATAACAAAAAGTAAGTATGATCAAATTAAAAATATAATTTTATATGAATTATTTGCATTATTTGCATAAAAATATAAAATATTTTTACATCTATTTTTTAAATAAAATGATGGAATTATTTTTAGTGGCATTTCTTGTTGCAAATTCAACATACATTTTTGTGCGCATCGCAACACTAACTATTGCAATGTTAGTGTTTCTTTATGGTTTAGGTCAAATGGAAAGTGTATTTGACTATGCTGTTGGAAATTTTAATATTCCAATTATACGATTCACAGCTTTAAGCTATATTGTTATTTTCCAAATTTATTTATCTTATATATTTATTTCGAGACAACTTAAGCGCGCCCGAGAAAATGTAGTTCCTGTACAAACAGCAGTGAAATCAAAACAAAAATCAAAGAAAAAAGAAGGTAAGCAGAATCTAGAAGAAATTTTTTTATTATGCATTTATTTTTAAGTATATTTAATTTAAAAAGTACATTAAATTTTATTTTTAGGAAAAAAATCTATGATGTCTGAAGATGATGATTTACCAGAAGTTGATCAAGCAACTAAAAAAAATCTTAGATCTCGTTCATCTGCAAAAGTAAAATAAATATTCAATAAAGTAAGAGATTTATTTAAGGCTGATTATAAGTACCTATTTCATTTATCTATGTATTATAAATAGGATTCCTGATATTAATATTTATGAAAATTGTTATTATTTTAATATTATTTTAAAATATGATTTGATATTATTGTAGCATTTCTTATTTGCATTAATTATATTAACTTGTCACTTTGAAAAAAGAAAATATTTAAAATATTACAATAAAATATTATAATATTAAAATATTAATATTAAAATATTATAATGTAATATGTAACAATTTTTTATTATATAAAGCTAGTTAAATTTATTTTATGAATATTTTATTTAATAGAAATCCATTATATTATATCCATTATATTATGCATTTATATAGCTAATTTATATATAAAATATATATATCGCGTATATATAATATACACGAGTATGTAATATAAAATTTGAATTAAAGAAATTCTGTTAAATTTTTTATCAATAGATTAGACAAAGAAAATTATAAAACTAATTAGATATTGGAATCGTTTTCTTCAAGTGCAAATTTTACACAACTATAAATAGACAAGGAGAAAAAATAATAGAAAAAAAACAGATACCAGGTAAAAATTCGGAAATTAGCATTGTCTTCAAAATGCTGCAAATGAAATATATATGTAAAATATATAAAAAAAACAAATATTAGAAGAAAGATAGAAAGTAGTAAGAATTGATCATTAACGCCATCTCTTTTAAATACTTTTTTAATTTAAAAATTAAAAGATGGCACTGATAGTCAATTAGAACTGTATCGCTATCCTTTTTCTACTATTTTTTTTTGTATATATTTCATTTGTGGTATTCTAAAAATGGCGTTTCTCATAGTTTTTATCCTGTTTTCCTTTCATTCACTATGCTCTTTCGTTGGATAGATACTTAGATGATTGTGAATCGTGAAAAGAATTATTATAGTGATCAAAGTAATTTTTTGTCACATAAATTTTTAAAATTAAAATTATTATTTTTGAATTTTATTCGTTAAATATTATCAGAAAATATAAAAATATCTTACAAATTTTTTATTCTTAAAATTAAAATTTAACCTAAAACTATCTAGTTATCGTAATATGAAAAATGATATTTTTTATAAAAAATTGAAATAATAAAATTTATTAAAAATGGCTAAAAGAAAGAGTTTAAACAGGCGTTCATCCAGATATAGTTCTACAATTTTAAATTCTAATTCTGATATTTCGAGTGATGGTTCGTTCATATTTTTTTGACAGTTTTGTGTTAAGTATTATAGATTGAATATATATTATAGTGCCTATATTTTAGAATATACTACTACTGATTGGTGGAAAAATTTGGAAGATAATACAATCCGACCCTCCATAGCTTCGAATATATTAAATCAAACAAGCCGTCAATTAGATTCTAACTCTCAAATAAAAACAAGTCAAGTTACAGATGGATGGTGGAAAGCACTTGAAGTTACAAATATATCAAATTCCTCAAAAGTGAATGAAAATATTGTAACTAAAGGTATGTATACATGAGATAATGCACTTAATATATGAAATATATACATATATACATATTATAAAATAATATTTATATATTAATTATATAATTAATTATATAATAATTATATATATTATATTTTATAATATTTTATATTTTAAAATCAATTAATATATTTTATAATTAATAACAAATTATTATATTTTAGAATCAATTAACAATGTATTAACATCTGAATCTGAAGAAGAATCAAAAATTGTAAAAAGAAAGTATTTTTTACGTTCAAAAATAAGGAGAAGCGAAGATAATATTTTTTTACATGCTTTAAATAATTCTATAACTACATCTGAATTTACACAAAAAACTGGAAAAGAAAGTTCAATAAACAAATCTGCATTGAGTAATAAAATAGATCTTAATGCCGAACAATCAAATGAAATACAAGTAAGTAATTTGAGCGATAGTCTAAACACTAATGATATTTTAAAGATGAAACCTAATATTTTTAAGAAAAATAACAAAAATCAAAATAACAATATATTTGTTAATGTATTAAAAAAAAATCAATTAGAAACACCATTGAAAAGAAAATCTTCAAAAATATCTTCTGATAATGAAGATCGAGCACAAACATCCACAGAATATTTAGTTCCTATAGTGACCGAAACTTCAGAGTCTAATGAAATATTACAAAATCAAATTTCATTATCATTTAATAACGAACATAATTTCTCTCATTTCCCAATACCAAAAGCACAGAGTACAATACTTGAAGGTACTAGTTCATTTATACATAATAATAATAAAGAAAGTAACAATAGTGATACAAATTCTGAAATACTTAAACCAAAATCTAAGTTATTAACACGTCATTATAAGAATGTAAAGGAAAATCTATTTGAAAATATTTTTGAAAAGCAAGAAACCATTAATAAAATTTCTGAAAATACAGTGGCTGATGATGCAGAACGTATATTGAATTCATCGGAAATTTCTGAAGCAAAAACTGATAAATCAATTACATCGAATAATATCACGTCAGATACAAATCATGATCTTTCTAAAGTTCGTAAATCAAAATCCAAATTTTTAAAAAAATTAAGAAAAAATCAAAAAAGGAATCTTTTTCAAGACATATTTGAGAAAAATGACGATACATTATCCACATTAAAACATTCATTACATCTATCAGAAGAAGAAAATTTATATTCATCTACACAAGACAAAAATAAACGAATTGTAAATAGACAAGAAAACGAATTAATAGATTTTCATTTAAGAATGTCAGATGAAGACGATAATACAAATGTTATTAATATATCGGCAAAACCCATACAATCGAAACAATCTATCGATAAATCTAAAACCAAAAATATAGAAGATATTCCTAAGAGAAAATCTAAGAATTTACATAATTCAGAAAGAGAAATCGAAGATATTGCGAAAAACAAGAACTTGAATAATATAAAAAAAAAATTATCTTTGGTAAAAAAAGCAAAAATTGATTCATCTGAAAATAAGAATATACGAAGAAGTAGTCGTTTACATAAATTGCATAATCCTTCAATTTCTCCGTCTGTGAGTAGAATTGAACAAGAAGAAGTTAAAAATACAACGCAACGGATTTCTAAGACTTTAAATAAAATACAAGAAGTGGATAAAATCGGAGAAAATATAATTGAAGATGGAGAAGACACAACGAAAAGCAATAATCCAAATAAATCGCAAAAATCGATGCATAAGTATTTGAAAAAACAAAACGAAAGTTTCGACGAAATTTACAAAAAATCAGATTTAGAAGATTCCACCTCTAAAATTAATATAGAAATCGAGAAAAATCATCAAAACGAAGCATTAAATAAATCTGAAGATTCAATGTCATCAGTAATCAGAAGAAATATTAAAGATATTTCAAAAGAACCGAGAAATTCGAACAAATTGCAAAAAAAATCAATGGATACATATTCAAAGAGACAAAGCAAAATATTTCATGAATCAGATTTATCTAATACTTCTGAAATTGAATTGGAAGAAATTGAAAAGAAATCGATAAAAATAACGAATGTAAACGCGTCATTCTTGCTTGATAATGAGAAACAAAAAATTGAGAAAAATCATGACAAATCATTAAATAAATCTACAGATTTAATATCATCGGTGATCGGAACGTATGTCGAAGATAATAATATTTCAAAAAAACAAGGAAACGATTTCTCGAATAAATTACAGAAGGAATCGGTGGATACGTATTCGAAGACACAAAACAAAATTTTCGATGAATCAGATTTATCCACTACTTTTGAAATTGAATCAGATGAATTTGAAAAAAAATCAACAAAAAAAACATCTATTGCAAATATGTCATCCTTGTCCGATAATGAGAAGCAAACAATTGAGAAAAATCGTAATAACGAAGAATCAGATAAATCTAAAAATTTAATGTCATCGGTGATTAAAAAGCACATTGAAGATAGAAATATTTCAAAAGAACAGAAAAGCAATCGCTTAAGCAAATTGCAGAACGAATCGGTGGATACGTATTTAAAGAGACAAAGCAAAATTTTTAATGAATCAAACTTACCTATTACTTCTGAATCGAAAGAAATTGAGAACAAATCAAAACGAGAATCCATTGCAAACGCATCATTTTTGTTTGATAATAAGAAGCAAAAAGTTGGAGAAAATGATAAAGTAGAGAATAAAACTACAAATTTTATATCAACGGTGACTGGATCTCGTATTGACAAAGATAGCAATGTTTCAAAGGGGCAAAGGAGTATTAGAAACTTTTTGACACCGAATGATGCATTGCCGGCATCGCAGATTCTTTGCGATGAAGAAAAAGTAAAAGAAATAAGACGAGAATTAGAAAAAGTGAAAGAAAAGGAAATGGCTAGCATGGGAACGAATAAGGTGAAATTTGAAGAAAAGTCATTTTTCCAAGGAAGAAAAAAAGAGTTTGGAAGAGGTAAAAAGTTGCAAACATTACAAAAGCGAGATCGTTCAACGAAACAAATTCATAGAGCTTTCTTGGTGAATGGGCAGAAATATAAACCTCCCCGACTACCTCGTCCTCAACCGTGGATCACTGATCGTCTTTATAAATATTTGTGGAAATATATGGAACCGAGATTTAAATTGGAAACAAGATTGGTTTCCGAAAAATTTATACATCAATTATCCAATGTAACGAAGTTTATTATGAAGTGTAAATCGTATTTAGATTATGAAAACGAATTGTACGCTTTAATGAAAGAAATGGCACGTCTCGGTATTATTTCTACACGGAACGATTTTTATCATTTTTGCCAGGATTTCTTTCTGTATGAACTTCGCGTTAAAATAGTGCCAATGTTATTACCAGGCAACAAGAAAAATATACCATATGATGCGAATAAGTTAAACGAGCCTCTTCTTGACTCTTAAAATTTTATTATTTGTTGATATACGTATCATCAAATAATAAATTTTTTTTTTATATTTTATAAAAAAATATGAAATTTTTTATTATTATGGTTACGATTTATCGGAATGTATACATTGTGGAATATGATAAATAAGTTATTTTTTTATGTTTAAAAAGAATTTATGAAGTGAAAATCAAAATGTTATATTTATATTTTTACGAAATTATTGAATTTATTAAAGTAGTTTTTCTTTCCATTAAATTTTTCTATGTAAATAATTTTTGTGAAGTTATCTAAATAAAAGTACGTATATTATTTATTTTTATAATTTGAATCTTTTTTCTTTTTGCTTGAAAATTTTGTACATTGAATTGTTACATTTCTCATACAATAATCAATCAATATTATGGAATATTAAAAAGTAGTTTTCTTTCTTTTTCTCTTTTTCATATTTTTGTATTTCTATATGACAATTAGTAATGCAATTAGATTTTTTTATTTTCATTGCATAAAATAGAAATCATATGTATTATCATTTCATTTTTCTATTGACAAGTTAAAGTGAAATATTTGACATAGAAAAAAAGATTATCGTTAAAAATATTTTATATATAATTTTTAAAAAAATCGAATTGATGAATCTTAAGCAATATGTGATGTGAAAAGAACAATTTTAAATAGTTCTGATCATCTCTTTAATTTATATGACACATTAAAATAAATAATCGCTATTACAACATTTGATCCTTATTAGAAGAACAAATTTTCATTTTTGTCAGGAAATGATTTATTTGAGCATTTGTTTGGATAATGTACTTTGTTTAATCGATTACAAAGTAAGCAGACAATAGACATTCGTGATTTTCGGCATGATGTGACGATTATGGGATATTCGGTGTTATTTTTCTCTTTCGTATGAAAAGAATACAAAGTAGACTTATACTTGGGTGAGTTGTCTTAATTAACCGAGCGAATCTGACCAAACCTCGTTTGAAGTTTAATCTCTAATGGAACAGTCGATGCAATTAGTCGAGACTTATTTTACGCGCACCACCTCCTATATACTATGTATAATATAATGTTTGAGCGTGCGCTTTGTAGGACACGTGACATGGCACGCGTCGCTCGTTACTCTATCGCTATCGGCAATTGTTTCCCTCAAAAATTATTACGCTCTTTCTTATTTAATCAAAATCACTAGTCTCTCTTTCTCTCTTTTTTCTTTCATATTCTTTTTTTTAAGAAAATATAAAATATAAAAATTTTTTCCGAACAATTGTTTTTATTTATTTTTTTTTTACAAATCTTTAGTTTGGATCAAATAATCTTCTGATATCATTAATTAAAATGATGATGTCAAATATATAATGCATGACATAATCTTATAATTATTGTATGTTTATTCTTGTTTATATCTAAATGATTTTAGATTTTTTTATTTTATTTTCCTATTTTTTCGCAGAATAATATTTGAAAATTTGATCGGTTTTATGATTAAAAAAGTTATCGTTTGATAATTGAAAATAATAAATGAAAATATCATAGATAGAATGATATTACGAAGTTATGAGTAAAAAAATAAAGAAAGTAGCCATTTATCTCAAAAAAAGTATCGAGGTTTTATAAAGAAGGGTACTTTTGTACATCGAATAACTGATATTGGCGTTCTTTTAAGCGAGCTTAGTTCGAATGTTATGACAATTATGAGTTTTCCGTAAGTGCATCGAGATGGCACGTGGCGCACGCATTAGGGAGATGGTGGACGCGTGTCGCTGCGTGAGAACAACTTCGCTCACACGCGTTACGTCGCGCACGTGCGTATATAGTACTATGTATTGCTCCTAGTTTCGCGTATGCGCATGCGTACACGCGACCATGCCACGCGCCGATCACCCTTCAACTTTTCAATGAACACCTCTTTTCTTTAACTATCTCTTTCTTTCTTGTCACTTCATTTTGATATTCATTGTTTTCGAATTTTAATTATATGGATCTTGCTTATATAATTATCATGATGGACAATCGCTTATATACCTATTTGTAATAGATTTTTTTTATTTCCTATTTGAAAAAAATCTTGATATCAATATGCGATTACTTTTTTTTATAGTATCAAATATTAAATATCTCGAATATAATTTATTATATTAATATAAAAATTTATAAAAGTTTATAGAAGTTATATTATATCAATTATTTTTTATAAATTTGAAATCGATCTTTCACTTTATAAGTATACTACATTGTAGTCATATATATTTTTATAGTTTGCATTTTTACTGATATTTTGTGTATCGAATAAGAAAAAAAAAAGAATTTTTTTTTTACATAAAAATATATAGAAAATAAATTTTGAAATATTTTAATTTTCAAAAAAATCGTATATATTTGATAAAAAAAGAAAATTGATGAAAGTATATAAGTTACTTAATTATCCTTCCTTTTTTTAATTTGTACTTTTATATAAATAAATATTTATAAACGCGATTCTATTCGAAAGTAATACATAATAATATATAGTGGGTATTAGAGTGGGGATAGAAAAGTTTGGTGTGATACGATAACATCAGGCAAACTGAGTTGATAAATAGGACGGTATACTGACTCGGAGCGGTATTTGGTCGCGTGACGCCGAGGCGTGCGCATCTAACCGAATCGTTGGCACGGTGAGAGTTCACATTGGTCAAAAATCAATTTTACATTTGTCGCATTCAATTTTTCTGACAAAATTCGGATAGTATCGAAATATAGTCGAGAGCTTAACATCGATATGTTGAGAAAATTATTAAGCAAATCTGGTCGCAGACTCCTCAGGGTAAGACGATGACAATTATCCTTTTCCCAATTCTATTGTACGCACGCATGCACGCACGTTTCTGGCGCATTGGCCGACCTAATTTCTTTAGCCTCGCGTATCATAATGTTAACCTGGTCACCAAGCTATTCTTATTATTTTGGTTAAATATCAATTTTAATCAAATTATTATATTGACAAGTCTGCATCTCTTTAATTATTTTTTTTCTTTACTAAATTTTTTTATATTAAAAATATTTTTTTTTTATATTGTGATTATGTAAATTTTTCGTTACTATGATTTTGTCCTTCTGAACATTGATTAGTTTAACTGCAAATATCTAACTTGCACGAACATATGCTTTATTTTCTAAATATATGTATACATACATATATTCACTACCGCATATCGAATCGCTTCGAAATATTTAATGACTTTGACTTTAAAATATTACGTTTTATTTTAAAACAGCTACATTTTCTCATAATCTTTTTTTATTTATACTTTTATTGCATTATTCAACGATTCTTTTTTCATTGCTGACTTATTATAAAAGAAAATGTATATATGCTAGTATGTGTATGTATATCGCAAGCTGTTGCTTCAATTTGCAGGCTATCAAGAAATTATCGACAAAAAGTCGCAAAGCAAAAAAGTCACGAAATTTGAGTTCTTGGCACTCGACTATACCGGAATACGAAACGGAATCTCTTTCATGGTCTTTATTATCTCTGGATACAAAAAGTATCGATACATTCACAACTTATGTTGCCGATAATTCCGAAGACAGCGTTTCGATGTGTTGTTATTGCGACGAATACGAAGAGAATCAACGGAATGAAAACATAGAAAACGAAATGATGATCTAACATACGACGATATTACGATGAATATTTCATCCATATAATTATTTTTATCTTTTTTTTTCACTAATACAACTTCGAGATATTTCATCTCAAAAATATGTATCTACTATGAAAAGATCGACGAGAAACATCGAGGACGTTTGCAATCCATTTTATAAAATAGTCGAATGCGTTTAATTATTTTATGAGATATATATATTTTCATAAAGATTCTTTTGAGAGGACCATAAAAAATCACATTCTTTTATCAAACGTAAATAAGATACTTTTTTTTAAATAATGATTAATACAACGAACCGTTTAAGAGGTTATATTTTTTCGTAATAGGTTAATGCGTTTTTCAAAATGATATTATACTATTATAAATATGCACACATTTTAAATTAAGCTTATTATATAAGTATTTTTATTTATGATATTGAATTATTTATATAAAAGGTAAAAGACGATATACGTATACCTATCAATTTTATCACAGAACGATTATATGTATATCACGATTTATATATTAGTTTTTTTGCTTAGTACTTATTTATTTATCATTTCAATTTGATAAATACTTTAATCGTTTAATCATAAGAGAGAAAAGAGGAAAAGTGCAGAAAGAAAAGAACGTTTCTTATCTTCTTCTATTGTTTTAAAAACTATCGATGTACGCGTATGTATATACGAATTATCTGTCGATAATCTGTTACCAGCGAGGTAATTTTAAGATATTAAGATATTCGTCGTTGAAAATATTTTCCGTGAAAATATTATATTTTCTCACACGATGTACATAAAAATATCACTGTTGTAGTAGAATAGATTTAATTTTGAAAATTTCACTATTTAATTAAAATAATATAGAATACATACTATATATGTTAAAGTGCATTGCAATGAATGCAAGATATAATATAATTTAATATTATTTTTCTCACAGTATTGTTCTCAAATTGCATAATCTTTATATAACTAAAAAAAAATTGATTATATCGAATCATTTATTCGTTTTTTTCGAAAAATATTTTTCGAAAAATTATGATTTTAGATATACGATTTGTACACGATATGTATATAGAAAAATCACATGAATTTTATGTATAATTATTATGTATATAGTTATACGATATGTGCGATATGTACATAGATATATGAACGAGTCTCGATTCTTTTAATGTAAGTATGTTCGATGAGGCTGTGACTTTTTAACGGATGCGAATGTCGTATAAATAAAATAATTTTCTCGAGGATTATCGATGTTCTTACAACTTCTGTCGTTAGTATAGTTATAGTATAGTTATATAAACTTCGGTTTCCCTTCGTTTGCGATAAGATCACCATATGTATATCACCAGATTATGTGTAAATAAGTATAATATATGCCGTTCAATTTCAATACAGTTGTAATCACGATCAAAGGGATAATATATATATATATATATATATATACACTCCTGCGTGTGTATAATGTATACATGCACTTTTACGATCGATTTAGTTACCTAGTACCTAACGATCGAACGAAAGTTTCTTAAAGGGTAAAGAAACTGCCTACGTAAAAATACACGACTAACAACGTTCCATGGAAACGGATGAATTTTGAGTTGTCACGCACTTACACATGGTTGCAAAGGATTGGAAGAGGTATTCGAACAATGGCCACGTGCCCACGCACTATTCTTCCTCTTCCCTAACGATAATTAGGTTCCCCAGGTAGCTTTTTAAAATATTTGTAAAAACCAGCAGCGGCTAATTGTTCCCATCGATCATTAAAAGCCCCGCGAATTTCCCATTTTGCCAATGTATTCTCTAACGAAAGATTTAACTGCTCGCAAAACTGGTTCGTATTCGAGGAACACCGGGATACTTATTTTATTTCTCATTCTCATTCTCTGCAAGCTGCAAAACTGAATGTTTGCATAAGAATGGTTGGCAAAATTTCTCATTACAGACAAATTACAGTTATGGAGCAAAAAGTGGGACAGATAAGAAGTGAGAGTAAAAATAGTACGAGCGTGAAAATATTATTATACTTACTATTATAAATTAACCAATTAGCGATTGATCGTATTGATTAATTTATGCAACCAAAGTATTGATTATAAACGATCGATTTCGTGAAACGCTGTAAAAAAGAAAAGAAAAGATTGGATGCAATGAATAGCCGCTATAATTCATTTCTCATAATTTCTATTTTATTACAAAATGTTATTGCAAAAATATTTGAGCGCTTTTTTTCACATATACATATATATATATATAGAGAGAGAGAGAGAAAGAGAGAACGTACGCAGTGATACGTTTAATGGCACTTTTTCACGCGTTCGATCATTCGAACGATCGTATCGATTTTTCTCGAACGATCGACAAACGATCAAATTGCGTGCATTACAATGATATACAAAAAATACAAAAAGAAAAGTAATAAAAGATAGAAATATAGAAAAAGTACGAACTCGATCACTTTCCACTATTTACAATAATCCGTTCATATGTATATATATACACACTGTACAAAATAATCGTTCGTTCGAAAAATTCGACGAATCGAGTCGAATAATAAATAATTTTTAAATTCACTACTCGCTCTTGTATCGTACCTCTTGTATCATATATATATATCGCGAAATAAATCTTGACGACGAAATCCTCTCTTTTCGAATTGGAAAAATAGCATTTCTCGATACCTATTCAAAAATTGCTTTCCTTAAAAATTTAATATTGAATCGTGAAGAAACCATAGGAAACGATATGAAAATTTTCGCGAATTGAAAAATATTGGTCGAAGAAGAATGCGTAAGATTTAATAGGCCAATTCGGCGCCCCACGGTCTGTAAGGTTTTCCGTGTTGCTGTTGAGGATATTGTCCTGGATACTGGCCCCATCCGAGAGCGCTTCCACCCAGAAGGGGTGGCATCGTCCCCGCTCCAGGTGGCATTCCAGCGGAAACTGTGCTCCCCGTCTCGTAGTTGGTACTCGTCGAGGTCGAACTCAAGCTGGTCACCGGAGGAGGAACGGTGGCGGACGACGGTGGATGATGCTCACGGTGAAAGCTTTGAAGGTGGGAGAGCAATCGCAGCCTCAGTGGATCTCTCTCGTCGAGGCCCTCCATGGTGACCAAGTAGCGGCCAACTTCGGCTGCGCATTCCCCCCAACCCACCGCGTGATAATCCATCGCCAATTTCGTACTGTCGTACCCTTCAGGGCCTGCAAAATTACACGAAGATAATCGCCTATCATCGATTTCGCATTTGACTTATCTTTACGTCACGCGTACCCATTTAATTGCAACGAACGATCTGGGAAAGAGGGAGAACGTAGTAGGGTGGTTCCACGGATTCGTCACCCTGCGTAGGATAGGACAGGTAGCGTGGGAATCGTTTAGACCCCTCTAGATCACTAGAAGCATTACTCTATATACCTCAAATGGAAATGTTATCCAAAGATTACGATTTTATGCTCTTTTTTTTATTATATTAACGATTTGTTTCATCGATATGTTATGTATGTTTTATATATATATATATATATA